CTCACAAGGTTCTTGACAGTTTCTGCCCATAGGTTCTGAACAGCAGTAGTAAAACTGATCAGTCTTGTTAATTACACTGTGATAGCACTTTGTTAAGCTGGGAGGAACATTAGGTGAACTGGAATGGTCTGTAGCCTCAGGAAGACAACATTCCCTCAGTTTACATTCAGTTCTCATTTATCTTCACTCCCAGGCTAGAAACTTCTTAAGGAAGGCTTCAGTACTGCATAAATAGATGGCAATATATGCTCTTCACACTTAATAAGGAAAACTTCCCACTGGTGAATAGACAGTTGAATTTTTCAAGTCTTAATATAGATGTACTCAAAATGTCATTTAGTATTAGCAGTGGCTTCTTGGAAACATGCATTTTTATTTAAATATGGGCTGCCTTACTATATAAAAGAGAGAGGATAGGATCTAAACATTTATTGCCAAAATTTGGCTCTCCTTAAAGTAAATTTGTGTGTGTGCGTGCATCTATAATACTCCATTATATTAAACAGCATACACTTGATGCTAAGGGAAGATATACTTTTCATTTCTTTTAATCTCAGTTTTTTTACAGTTGCTTTAGATTACGTTGCAATTTCCATATGTTATGAAATCACAACAGGTAAATATTTACTAAAACCATTGTAAATTTAATAACTGTCATCTTAGGTAAAAAGTCACTTCTGATGCTTCTTATGTTGTGTTAGGTAACACTGCCCTCAGAGGGCCATGGTAAGTAAATTCAATTTAAAAACAAAAAGCAGTATTTTTGATGTCTTGCTTGACCTGGCATCTCTCATGATCTTGCTTCATTTTAATAACTTGTATATGAATATGCTTTAGCCTTGGTTTCTTTTAAACAGTTTTTGTTTGCCCCATTTTCCTAGTCTTTGCTGTAAAGGTACATTGTTATTTTTGTCCCTCCATTTGTTTATCTGGACACGAGAGAGATAGTAGTCTATTTTAAAACAGAAAACATGTACATTTCTCCTTTAAAAATAAAAAAAATAGTACAACTCGCTTTGTCCCGTTTCCCCACCCCTTCCCGGTACCCTGCCAAACAAATAAAAAATCCCAAACAATCCCTCACCCCACAATGTTCTTTCTTTTAAAACCATTTTGATAAATTGATAAGGAAATATCTGAGGCAGATTTTTGGTGTTCTCTGCTTACTGTTTTTTTTTGTTTTTTTTTTTTTTTAATTCTCACTTGTGTCTGTGTGGCAGCTGTTGCTCCTTTCTGGGAAGCAAGTTATTGAACTCAAAGGCTTCCTTCCGTTGCCTGTCAGCTCTGTGTCTTAAAAATGTTTTCCTGACATCTCCAGAAGCCCTTTTCATATTCAAAAGTATCAAACTCTGTTAAATAAAATAGGTTAAATTATCTGTTGCATAGATGACCAATTTGTCTTAATAATTACTGTGATTCGTCAGCAATAAAATTAGTTGGGTATTTTTGAATTAGTAATTCTCAAAAGGAGGGCTGAATTCTCATTTTCTTAAGATTACAAATGGATGTTAATAGTAAAAAGAACCATAAAGTGTTCGGTGAAGTCTGTGTTTGAAGACATAGTTAGAGACCCGAGGTAAATTTAAAGACATAACTGACTTTAAGAGATTCGTTTTATGTGCGCATGAGCAAACTGAAGACTCTTGTCTGGTTCCACAGAAATCTCCTCCCACCACAGCTCTTTAGCAAAGTATCAAAATTACAAGCATTACATCACTACAACAAACTCCTTATCAGAAAAAAAAAATCTGAAGGCAAGTCATGTTGCTATCTGCTTGGAAATGGCCGTATAAAGAAATGGCAGTATAAACCCCCTTTCATTGGTGTTGCACGTAATGCATTGGCAATAACAACCAAAGAATGTCAGGTGAAGAGCAATTCAGAACTTCATTCTCATGACCCTGTGGGTACGTGTATGTAGCAATTAAACATCTGTGGGCTGGCCTGGGTCAGCTCACAGGGCTTGGGCTGCGGGGCTGTAAAATTGCTGTGTAGACATTCGGGCTTAGGCTGCAGCCTGAACCTTTGGACCCCACAAGGGTGGAGGGTCCCACAGCCTGGGCTCCAGCCTAAGCCCAAATGTCTACACAGCTGTCTTCTATTCTAGTGTTGACGTACTCAGTATTACCATATTCCTTGTATAGCTACCTCAACATTTTTTTTCTTTTCTTTTTTTTTTTGCTTTGTCAAAGATCCAGACTTTTATTTTCATGTGAATCAGAATTTCGGTTGCCATATCAATTCCCAATTTTGGGGAACGCCCTGGGAAATATTGCTAGAGGAGCAAAGAAGTTGAAGCTGACTCCTGGGTTACAGAATTTTCCTTGTATGTGAAAGTGTCATTATTCTGTAATAGCATTAAATACTTTGACCAGAGTTAAAAAGATGCATGAATAACTTGGTTTACTTCAGTGCAATGAGTAAAATTATACAGCTCTTCCAAGTCTAGTAAGCAGATTCTAGGAGAACATGTTTTTTAATTTAGAAAGGCGTAAATTTAAGCTAAATAATAATTTAGTTTAAATTAACACAGCAGGAAGCTGGGTACAAACTGAATAATTCTCTATAGGAAAACTACTGCTATTTTAACTACCTCAAAGACTGTACTTCATTAAATTGTCAGGCCATCTTTTCTGCTGGTTGGTCCATGTGGACTTTTCTTTTCTCACAAAATCCTTTACTTTAATCTTAACACTTGAATATACAAACTTTTAAATGTAAGGCTTTTGCAGTTCTTTTATGTTTAAGGTACTTGGTAAACATATGTTCTATTCTGAAAATATAGTCTTACTATGACTTCAAATTTAGTATTAGCTGCTTCTTTAGAAATGTAATAGACTTTAAATGATGTTTACATATGCACATATTTTTATTGCTGAAAAACATAAAAATTTAAAGTTGAAATGTTGATAGGTCATTTGGAAGTCAGAGAGTTGTCCTCCATTACAAATATCCTGAGATATGTAATGTATGAGTGTTTTTTTCTTATGGTGAGAATTTTTGGCTTCATGTGAACACTGATCACTTTTAAGAAACATAGACCAAAAGCTGTTTTTAATCTTAAAACAATTGGATTATGCAGAAGGGAGCATAATTATTTTTATAAGGGAGCATTTTATAAATTAAGCAGAGGAAAATGAGTGTATCTTGATAACTATTAAGCTATTTCAGCAATTAAGTGAAATGTTAACCAGTATGTTGTTTGTTTTTATTCTTCAGATTTCTGAAGTGCAAGTGTGGGCATCCATCCATTTTTATGGGCATGGTATCTATATATTAAAAATTACAATATAAACAAAAAACTGCCCATAAGTATATTCACCTAAACCCACTCCATTTTCAATAGCCTTTATCCAGGCCAGTTTTGTTACAGCAATATTGATCATTTCAAGAGAAGGCATATTCTTCAATGTATCTGTGTGCAAAAATTATATTAACTTCTTTTTGTGAGGGAAACAACATCCTGAAAAAGCAAATTTGGGTGTGATTCGTATATAAGAACCAGGCAAAGTTAATGTATTTTAAAGAAAGACATCCGTGGTGCAAGAGACCTGAGAAGTGGTGCTGTATTGTATATTCCTTTTGGAATGACATGTTCTGCATCTGGCTATCATTGTGGGCTACTACTATATTGGGGCTGAAACGTAAGGCAAAACCATGCTGTTTAGCACTAGTGTATGTAAGTAACATGGGAATTGATCTAAGTGTATTCATTAAACTCTTTAAAGACCCAGATATAGAAGTGTTGCAGGAGGTTTTGTTCATAGTAGACAACACATCATTACTGGTTGATTACTACTTATTTGTGAATTATTTGGATGAAGACATTGTCTTTATTCCTGAAATATCATTGAATAAATCATCTAGATAAAACATTTCTCTAGAATTCATCATAAAAAGTTTTGAAACCAGTCACTTTTCTGATTTCAAAGTTTTTGATTCAGACCATTTTGATTTACTGGAGAAGATTGGTTTCCCATATTTTAATCTAGTAATGCATGAAAATAGCTTGCATTAATAATTTTTCAGAAGATAGAAGTTCATTCCACAACACCATCTGCTTGGCATATTAGTTTCACTATTTTCTTACCAATACTTTTGTGAAGGAGCATTTCAATAGTCAGTGAAGTTCTTGAAATTGCATTATGAACAAACTGATGTACTTACTTGTTGATTGTCTCCTTTAATATCACAACTGTATGTGTTAGATTTTGCTTACTTCTCTGGCTGTATCAAGTGCACATCTAATTGGTTAACAGAAAGATCTTGAAATTGATTTACATTCTTTGTGGAAAATTTTCGGCATGCATCAGTGGAAGAAGGTGGTAATATGATTTAGTGGTTGACGGCTTGTAGTTTACACTACTTCTAGTAAACAGTGCATCTGTCTAGTTAATTTTAAACTGCATTTGATTATCTTTTCCAAGCACGTGTTAAATTTAAAAGCAGTTTTTAACAGCTCTTTGACCTCAATAAGATTTTACACAGTATATGTATTTTCCTCTGTTCGTGTATGAAATTGGACAATTTTCTGAGCCTCTGTTTTATTCTTATTCTTAAATTGGATTTTGCATTGGGTCTTTGCATGGTAGATAAGTTCTGGAAAGCTAATTTGTAATCAACAATGCTCACAAGAGAGAAGGTCCATTTTTACCTCCTTGGCCCTGGATTTTACCATAATGTAATAAACAGTGCATGCTGTTTCTTTATTATTCATTTCACTTTGGAAACAGTATCTAGGATGTCAGTGTTTTTAAAATAATGTATGTGATCTAAGTGTAAGGTTTTGCTTTGCCCACAACTCTGTGTGTATTGTTGAATGAATCTCTGGAGACATAAGGTGCAATTAATTATAAAAGTGTGACTTTTTTTCTTTTAAATGAAGAAAATTGTTCAAACAAATGCTGACACTGTTAATGTTGGGCACGGATACGGCGCTGTAACATCTCCTATCAAAGTCTTTCTTTTCTTTGATATTAATGTATATTTTTCTTATATAGGAGAATATATCAAAAATTGGCGGCCAAGATACTTCCTGTTGAAGACAGATGGGTCTTTCATAGGGTATAAGGAGAAGCCCCAAGATGTGGATCTACCATATCCCCTCAACAACTTTTCAGTGGCAAGTAAGTCTCTCTTCAGCATCTGTTATACCTACAGTATTTAAATCACTATAAACCTGTTTAATTCTTTGCACATAATTATATATATTACTAATATTAAATATATTTACTGTATTAAAATATTTTAGATCCCATGGTAGTGTGCTTATATAAAGAGGGAGGGACAGACATTATCACTCAATATAAAATGTTAGCTCTTAGCATATTGATAAATACCTACTACATTACACTTTATATGTGTAATTTAAAAATTCACTGTCAAACCTAAGTTTGATGCTGTGAGTCAAGGTTGTTCTACTGTGGTTGAAGTCAAACTCTAAACAACACCTTGGAAATACCACTAAAGTTTTACCAAATATTAGGTTTTGAAGCTTTTCCAATGAAAGTTTCTTCATTATCTGTAACCTTAACTAACAACAACAAATTAGACAGGCGACTGTAATAAGATGTACATTTGTGGGAAAAGGTTACCTATACGAAGACACTCCCACTCTTTTCCTTTCCCCAGTAATACCTATAAAATCACTTGAAAACTCGAAGTAATTAGAAAATTATCCGGACTGTCAAATGGCACAAAATCAAGCTAAAGGATTAGTCTCTTGGATAATCAGGTAATCAGCTCTCCACATGGGGTAATCAGTAGTTCCAAGCAATCAAACAATTTACATGTATTAGCAAGTCTGTGAAGTATGCATCCAGTGGATAAAATGGAGCCATCTTGATTTCCAGGTTTTTATAGAGCTTGTTTAAAAGGTAACCTTTCAGATTCAGTTCATCCCCAGAAGGTGGGGACAGTAGAAAGGTGCTTCCAAATGAAGACATATGGCCTATGGTGTTTGCCACAAAAATGAAAGTACTTGAGGGACTAAACTGAATAAAGATATTGTGTGGACAAAGGCTGGGATTTTCAAAGGAGCCTCAGGGAGTTAGACACTCAAGTCCTGTTGCAAGTTAGCTTGAAAAATAATATGATAACTAAGCCTTGTCATTTGTAGATCTATAAGAATTAGAGTTTGGACAGAATTTTCAAAGGAGCATACAGGAGTTAGGCACCCAAATCTTCTTAGGCTTTTTTGAAAATCTCATTCATATTCTACACCCTTTGTGAAGGAGTGTTCTGCCCTGTTAAGAGACAACCAGGAACTCTCAACCAAAACAGCCTGAGGTATATTTAAGGAGGCTGTCTGCTCAGCCCTAAGGCTTGGCCTGTTTGAACAGAAACAGGAAGCTGAACAGTAGAGAGGGGACTAAAAGCCATCCAGGTTGCAAGGGGTGATGAACTCTCTCCAGTTCCAGAAGAGTAGCCTGACCAGGCTCAGAGGCCTCGTTTTTGGACTTAATTAAGTTTGGGATCTCTGAACCAGGGTACTGAGTTTAGGGCCCTTGAACTATTTTTCCAAGTACTCCTTCTATGCTGGTTTATTGAAGGAGACGTATTTATTTTTATTTGTTTGTTTTGGCTCCTCATTGCATCAATCTGTGAATGTGAACTTACTGACACCCAAAGACAAGGCACACCTGTAGTACCGCACTTGGTCGCAACAGGGCATTTTGAGACTGGTATGATATGATGCAATACACAGCCTATGCGTTAACTCATACTAGTGCAAGGAATTTATATAGATTGCAATACATCGTATAGTATCTGTAGTTCAGGTAGGGGAGCAGTGAAGGGAGATCCTGTGGCCAAGTTTCAGAAAGAATGGCTATGGGGACAGTAGAAGAGTTAGAGAGTAGCATTTAATTGTTACATTAAAGAGAGGGTTAAGAAGTTATATATTGCAGAAAAAATGCCTCTTGATATTTGATTTGAAAAGTGTGTAGGGAGGTTACTTCATGTGGGAGCAATCTGTAAAAGAAACTTCCTACTACTCTGGAGAGATAAGGATAGTAAATAGAAAGAAGCCTACTATCAAAGGAACATGGAGAATACAGTAGAAGTTCTGTTTGGTAATTGTAGTTGCAGTAGTTCATTTGAGGACCTTGGAACTAGGGTAAAAGACTTCGTACTGGATTCTGGCATACACAAGTAACCACTGAAGAATTCTAAGAACATGGGTGAGGAAAATAAGGTGTTACCTTTTGGACACACTTAGGTTTAGTGTCTTGGATTTCCATTAACATCTAAAGGGTAGAAATTGCAGTATTGTGCATGAGAAGAAAGAAGATGACATATTGATATCTTGGCGATGTGACATGATGGTGGACAAGCCATGAAGGAAGTCCTGGTATTGTAAAAACTGTTTTGTGCCTCTCATCAAATGTCAGGGCAGCAATTTATGCTGCTTCTGTAAGGAGGTAGTAGGGCTATCAGAATCATTGTATTCAATGCAAGGGTCTCCTTGGTCTCCCTTGCCAGAGCTGGAACGGAGATAGACAGGAGAAGCCATGCTGGTTCTCTAGTGGAGAAGCTGCCAGCACCTCCTCACTGTATTCATGAAAGGATCTAGCTTTCAGACAAAATAAAAGCCTGAACAAATTCTGGCCAACCTGCAAGCAAAGCAGACTTCCTTACAGTCTACACAGCATTTCTCCACTTCCCCTTAGTTGTGAAGGGAAGGCAGCCAGAACCACCAGAAGACATTATGGACAGTGGTAAGTGGCCTCATGGTCCACTTTCTTTATCATTTACTAATGTTCCTCTCCTCCACGCCTTCATGCCTCACACGTTCTCCATGCTCTTCCAAATACAGATTTTCCCTTGCAGCAAACTTTTCAGGGGTTTATTGCAGATTTTTTTTTGGTCAGAGACTTGTTCCCTTTGGGATGTGCCTCAACCCTCAGTGACTGCTGCCTTCTGTCTGCAGCTTCAAAAGTGCTAGAGCTCTGGCACTTCCATTCCTGGGTTATCTTGTGACTGGGCCTTCTAGACCCTTACTCTCAAGAGACTCCTCTGGAACATCTAGCAAGAGGTGGTTGTTTTGAGCCAAAGGGACTCCCATCTCTCCCTGGCTGAAGAGACTGAGTATGGCAGAGAGGCTGTTTCTCACCTGCTTCAAAGTGGTGCAGTATAGCTGGATCCTTGCCCAAAGAAGTTTGGCCTTTACTCTATTATTTTCCTTGTGAAGGAGTGCTTGGGGGAACAGGTCTGGGCTTGATTTAAAATACCTAGATAGATATTTAAGGAAGTCAAAAATTCATTATGGAGACGCTCAAGTTAACTTTAGCAGCCATCAACAAAGGGGACTTCCTATACTCCACAGACCTGAGAGAAGCCTATGTTCATATGAAATACCTATTCGGTCAGCTCCCAGGCAAGTCTTACTTTACATAGGGGCACCAGTATTTTCAGTACTGCTTCTTACCATTTAGTTTGGTAACTGGATCCAGTGTGTATAGACATACTTGTAGCTGCTCTGAGACAGGAGTGTGTGCCTGTTTTTAAATGATGTCATCAGAGTCCTGTGCAGAGGAAAGGCAGAAAAGGACATTTGGAGGACAGTACAATTTGTGGATTACTGTGGATTCATCAATTTCAGTTGTTTCCTCTGTGTGCTATTTTGAGTTCCACTAGGAAGAGGAAGTTTTTATTTCATCCAGACACTGGGCGCTTCCTAGGTGCAGCACCACTGATTCCCCCCCGCCCCCCTTGAGTTCATCAGGTATAACTCTGGGATCTGAATGTCATTTTATTGGCCCTAATTTTGTTCCCATTTAAACATGTCAGAAAAATTTCACTATTTCTTGTCTGTCAAAGTAGTTCTCAGCTAACATATCCTCAGAGATGTATTAAATCTCAAATTTTCACCTTCCTCTGTGACAAAATTGTCATCAGGACTAAAACCAGTCTTTGCATCCAAAGTAAATTCAGTATTTCATTTTGCACAGGAAATGATCATGCCCTCCTTTTGCCCCAAAACATCAGGTTTGAAAGGGAGACTTCAGTATATTCTCAGTGACACACAGGCTTTATTGATTTCATATTGAGCATTCCAAGCCCTTTAGAAAAAATCAAAGGTTCTTTTTTGTCTTGTGCCATTCAGTATCAAAAGAAAAGAAGATGTTTAAGTTCTTCATATTAGGATGGATTCATCTGGCCATATCAGAATCTTAAAGAGTAAGGTCCTTAGCTCCATCATTTAATCTCAACGCCCATTTCCTTAGAGCTGTGGTGACTTGTAGACCAAGTGTTCTTATGATCTGTAAGAGGAAATGTATGAAATTGCAACATAGCCCTTGTCGGCCACCTTCACCAAACTCTCTAAAAATTGGACATCCTATCTTCCACAGCTGCTGCCTTCAGATGAAGGGTGCTCTAGACCAGGGATCTCAAACTCGAATCACCACGAGGGCCACATGAGGATTAATACATTGGCCCTGGGCCGCATCACTGACACCCCCCCGCCCCCACTCCGCCCCTTCCATAAGGCCCCGCCCCATCCCACCTCTTCCCACCCCTTCCCTGCACCTATTCCAACCCCTTCTCCAAATACCCGCCCCTGCTCCGCCTCTTCTCCACCTCCTCCCCTGAGCGTGCAGCTCCCCGCTCCCTCCTGGAAAGCGCTAAGCTCCACCAAACAGCTCTTTGGCGGCTGGAAGCGCCTGGAGGGAGGGGGAGTGAAGGTGAGGGGTGCTTGGCGGCCCGCAGGAAATAACTCCGGGGGTGGGGGGCGCAGGGAGCTTGGCGGGCCACAGGAAATAACCCCGTGGGCCGCGTGTTTGAGGCCTCTGCTCTAGACAGTGGTTCCTTGGTGAGGAGAAATTCATAGCTAACAAATAGTTTGGTACTGGTTGTTTCTGCATTCCAATTTCTCAAGTTCAGCCTTCTTAATACTTGCATTAAAATAATCTAAACATAGGAATGACCATACTAGATCAGACCAGTGGTCCAACTAGCCCAGTATCCTGTCTTCTTACAGTGGCCAATGCCAGATGCTTCAGAGTGAATGAACAGAACAGGGCAATCATCAAGTGATCCATCCCCTGTTCTCCAGTCCCAGCATCTGGCAGTCATAGGTCTGGAGACACTCAGACCGTCTTGGCTAATAGCCACTGGTGGACCT